TTCTAGCACCCTGCACATCCAGACCTCTGGATTCCACCAGAAACATGGATCAAGTCCCACTTCCCACCCTCCCCTGTTGCTGAAAAGAATAGAGATGAATTTGTGGGGCTTTTTAGATGCCACATATAAGTGAGATCCTACAGTATTTGTCTTTCTCTGTCTGACTTATTTCACTTAGCATAATGCCCTTGAGGTTCGTCATGTTATCGCAAATGGTAGGATTTCCTTTTTATGGCTGAATAATATTCCATTGTACCTTCCCTCCCTTCCTTCTTTCTTTCTTTCCTTTTTTCTCCCTCTCCTCTTCCCTTTCCTCCCTCCCTCCCTCCCTCCCTCCCTCCCTCCCTTCCTTCCTTCCTTCCTTCCTTCCTTCCTTCCATTTTTAACCAGTACTTCTTTAATNCCTTCCTTCCTTCCTTCCTTCCTTCCTTCCTTCCATTTTTAACCAGTACTTCTTTAATGGCTTAAGTTGGGAAATGCCCACCTGCAAATCTCTTTTATGGAAGGTCTTACCCTTCATAAGGGCCTCTCCTAATTGGGCTTCCTCCTCACCCCCTTATAAATAAAAAGGTAACTCGATCCAATATTCTGCCTCCAACCAACTCCAACTTACTGTCTCAACCTTGCCTGCATATCCTCTGGAGATTCTGACATCAATTTTCAATTGACAAACAGGTCTGACATCAGGAATGAAATCTGAAATAGCAATATCCGACCATTAAAAAAAAGAAGAAGAAGGAAAAGAAGATACTCAGCAAACATATACACTTAGCTATTAACAAACTTTTTCTTGGAGACTTCACAAGATCTTTATTCTTCTTCAGGGCACTTGAACTTGTACTCTAATTTTCTTTCTGTAACAAGTAAATCATTGGAAGGCCTCTGGAAGTTCAGCTCATAACGTAGGTCAAGAAATAAGTACCATATTATACAGAAAACTGATAGAGCATCTAGTCTGTCTTAGAGTACCCCAAGTTTCAGAGACATTTCAGCCCTGTAAGAATAAGCTACTCGATATAATTCTGTAATAAAAAAAGCCTGGGCGGATGACTGATTACCGTATCTGTGTCAACTTGCACCACTGCAGGAACCATCAGGAGGGAAAACCTCGGGCTGGCCATGACACCTCATATATCTTTTGAGTGAAATGCTCCTGTCAATTAGGTGTAAATGAGAACTCAAGCCCATAATCATAAAATCTTACCTATTGAGTCTGACCCCTGCTGAGGTTGGCATTCGCTTGTGGTCTGAACATTGCTGGCATAATGGGCCATTCCCATTTCCAGATTAAGGGTTTTAATAGACTCCACCAACTAGTTGACTTAAGCAGGTGATGATGAGCGTGGCTGTTTTGCTGCTTTGGTTGGATCAAGGAGAGCACGGAGCGGTGGCTTGCCTACGATCCAAGGTAGTATTCGACTATGGGAAGACTCTATGAACTGTGATTTCCTAGCCTGGTTTTCTGAGATGTACAGAGGAATTGGGAACAGTCCTGTTATTCAGGTGGTGCTGCTTGATTTTTGTCATCCTTGTTGAAGTTTTAAGCATTTATCGAGCCCCATGCTGCTTATACAACACTTTACCAAGTGCTAGGGAAGGGGAGTTGGTTTAGGCAGTAGTTCCCAGTGTTTTCGAACTTGAAGACTCTTCTTTTAGTGCTGTATTTTCTCAATTGGTAATTTGTGTACAAAATGGCAAAAAAGCATCTATATATTTATTGATGCTTTAAAACGATTTGCACTTCTAAAATAACAATCTACATATGATAGTTAAATATATAGGAGATATAGTATATACGAGTAATATTTTTAGTCTCTAGAAAATGACATACATGGAAAATGATTCTTGTAGCCCTTTCAGCAAATTCATGATCATTCAAGGATCCAAACACTGGCTCCAATGTCTTCAAGTTGGAAAATACTGATGTAACTCCCACAGATGGAACATATTACAATGGAACATTGCAATATAAGTGGTGTTTATTGGATTTTTAACTTTTAGAATAAAAATTTGGGACTATGTAATTATTGTTCAATTCAGAGCCAAGTAGTACACTGGTCCAATGTCACAATCTTCGTGTTACCTGAAGAAACATGTTCTTAATTTAGGTTAAATAGATTCTCTTTCTTATAGTCCTTCTACTCAAAATTACATCATAGTTTGGTTTGCTTCATATCCTGATCATAACATTTTTGTACCATTGCATATTTTGCTTGGAGCTTTCAACTGTCTTTCAGTTTTGGTGGCTGAAATTAAAAATATGTCTTCCTTAGACTATCACTAATGCCTCTTTTCTTCTTACCTACTCTATTGCCCAGAATTCAGTTCATTCTACTTCTTCAAGGTCTTGTTTTTGAAGCCTATATTTTCTGTTGTAATATAAACTGAGTTCTCTCTAATTCTGATAAACATCTGTGATTTTGGGATTTTTTTTTCCATTGGATTCTTGGGTTAATTTCATCATCTTTCGTCACATATCTTCCTTTGATTTTAACCCTCATTGGGCTGGAATATAGCTTCAAGGAACTTCTGAAGAATGAATCCATGGGAGATAAACATTCTTTCACATTTGACTGGGGGTTAAATTTTAGCTCCAAAATAATTTTTCCTCTGAATATTAATGGCTCCATTCCATGATTTTCCAGTATTTCTGATGACATTTGTCATAAGCCTGATTCTAATCCTTTGAACATAGGGTTGTCAGATAAAATATCAGCTAAATTTGAATTTAAGATAATCCACAAGTGTTTATAAGTATATCCCATGCAATGTGCAATATTTTGAGCATACTCATACTAATATACTATTCATTTTTTATCTGAAATTCAAGACAAATTGTGTGTCCTATATATTTTATTTGCTAAATCTGGCAACCCAACTATAAGGCCAACCACTTGTGTTTTTTTTAAATAACTTTAGAATCTTCTCATGATTCTTTGTGTTTTGAAATTTCCTAAGGATAAGTGTGGCTTTTATTTAATTATTATTATTTTTAATCTATGCTGCCCAGTATTTGTGGGACCTTACAATCTCTTTCAGCTCTGGGGAACTTTCTTCTACTATTTCTTTAATAATTTTCTTCCCTCATTTTCTCTGTTTTTTTGAGACTCCTAATCAGCTGATGATGGGCCTCCTGAATTAAGTCTTTATAGCTCTAATCCGTTTACTTCTGTTTCCCATAGCTTCCTTTTTCCTTATGTCCTGATAAGTTTACTCAATACCATATTCAGTAGTCAAAACTTCAATTTCTAAGAATTCTTTGTTATTCATTAAATTGTCATTTTCTTGGCATCTTACGTTTCATTGATGGATGCACAAGTTCTCACGTCTCTCCAAGGATATATGAGGTTTTTGTTTAGCTTTGGTTTAAGTTCTGAATTATTTAAATTATTTCCTGAATTACTTCTATTTCCTTTGGGTGCAGTTCTGGTTGTTTGTCTCTATCTCTTTCTTTCAGGCTGCCATTTTCCCTCCATGGGTTTGGAAATCATTGTTTATCCATATTTAGGAATAAAGGATAGGGTCAGTGATTCTAGGTAAAGAAGATGGTTTCCTCTGTTATATACCTCTCCTCTAGATAGAAAGAATGATAGGAAGCTCTAATGTCCAGGTAGATCTTACCAGACTTTGATGAGTGTGAGCAGGTGATGTCCTTGGAGTCATTTGTATGCCAAAATGAGTAGTGTTCTAGGATCACAGCACTAATTGGTCCAGCTGTCCTTAAGCAATTTATTTAATTTTTTTTTACAGAAGAGACATCTCTCCCCTGCCGTGCCCCCCGCCCTGCCTTCTCCCCATACATACACACATTACAGCTGTGTTACTGTGCTTTTGGGAGGGTGCATTTTTCCCTCTCAGTGGTTGGTCTGTAGACAGATTTTTTATTAATTCTTACTTCCTTTTGCAACTATCCAGGGCTGCAAATTCTTTAGCTTTTTTCTATCTGCTCTTTGTCTTCCAGAAATTTGTTGAAATCATGAGTCCATCACCAGGCCCCTCTCATTTTCTTTACTGTTGTGGGTTGAGTTTATTAAAACAATTCTTGGGGAGTATTGGGTAGGTGGGAAGACAAATACATGTATTCAGCCTACAGTTCCTCTTTCATCCACATCCACATCCTATCATATCCTCCTAAATGTGCTCATGAAAATATTTTACATCTGCAAGGGTGCAGTTTGGTTTAAAAACACCCTTAAATGCATACTCAGTTACCCTTCAGAAGTTGGAACACATTTTTCTAAAAGATAAATATCTTAAAATAAAACCTCATATGGTTTCTGAAATAATGAAATAACCTAGTACATCAGAGTATAACGTGCCTACCCCACTACCGGGACCAGAATAGTTGCTCAGTAAATATTACATCTTTTTTATTATTGGGTTGTCAGAGAAGTCGTGACGCATTTTTGCAATGAAAAACATAGACAAAATATGTCATGACTTTTTCGACAACCCAATAGTTTATTTTCAAAAGATAGAGCTCAAGAACTTATTCTGTAATGTTGGTACAAAGAGATATTTGGGCATGAGTTGCTTGAAAATGAGATGAAAAGACAGCTACCACTAATCTACCTTGTGATTAGAAATTAAGGATTAATGATTAGATTCTCATAAAACATCTGGAGCTCAAAGATAAAACTCACTATAAGACTTGTGACATTGTTTATTCTGCTATAGCAAACTGTACTATTAAGCTTACAAAACATAGTAATAAAGCTATGGTTTTACTAAGCCATAGGGTATTAACTCATGAAAAATGCCACATGATTGTGATTTACGCATGAGATACGTGAAGATCAGAGGGGTTAAGAAGTTTTCCCAAGTTTACATAGCAAGTAAATCATTGAGCCAGAACTCACACCCAGGTCTCTGACTTCAAACCAGTACCTTTTCCACCACGGCACAAATTCATAGGATTCTATGGGGAAATGAATGTGTGATAAGATAGAATTTGTTCTGTCATATGATATTAATAAATATTAATCATATTTCATTTGCAGTGAAATTGTATGCTTTAACAAGTCAAGTCATCAATGGTGAGATGCAGTTCTATGCCAGAGCTAAACTTTTCTACCGAGAAGTACCAGCTACAGAAGAGGGTATGATGGGAAATTTCATTGAACTGTCCGACCCTGATATCCAGGCTTCTCAGGAATTTCTTAGGAAATTTGTTGGGGTGAGTTATCCAACTGCAGCTTGATGAGGAGGCAAAGTTCTTGTAAACATTGAGCTCACATGCTTCTGTGTTGTTTTAAGTCGTATTAAAGCCATATGGCCCAGCCAAGAGTTTAGCCTGAAAGCCTGCTTTAAGACGTTCAGAAAGGATGGGTCACATCAAACCACTGGCTGATCTCACTTGGCATTCCACCCTCCTCGCACCATCTCATCGCTCATGCCTCAGGGGAAGGTGAACTAGCAGTGCTAATACTACAATTTGGGGTTAAGAAGACCTCTCTTTAAGAGTCTCATAGATAAACAGTCGACAGCCAGATGACTGATGGGAGATCATGCTATTTGGGGTCTTGGGGTGATTTACTGACTCCCTCTAATAAAAATTTGATGTAGTAAGGAAATGCATGCTTATGTTGGGTTCAAAAATGATACCTACGGTAGAATATTTTTTACATTATTTTATACATAGTTCAGACATTGCTTTGAAAGAACGTGGCCCCCCTGTACTCCCAGCACTGGGTGAAACCCCATTTCCTTAACTCCAGGTCCTAGGGAGACAGTACAGTGTAGGGGCCCACATCTTGGGCTCTAGAGTCATTACGGGTTTTTTTACTTACTATATAAGCAACTCTGGGCATGTTACTTAAATGCTCTAAGTCTCAGTTTTCTTACCTTTGACTAGGGAATAACCACAGAGCCTGCCTCATTGGATAATGTGAAGATCAAATGAGATCATCTGTGTCAGGTTCTTGCTTTAGTGCACATAAGTATTACTCAATACGTTCAATTTATTGCTAGTACTAATGAGAACAGGCTTTCATAAAATGCATTTGTGATATTTTAAGGAGCTTCATTTAGGCATTAGAATAGACTTAACCCACCTAATAAGGCTGCTGTCAGTCCTACCGAAGACATAGTGTGCTAACTGGCTAACAGGTTTGGTTTATTTTGTTTGCATTAGGAAGGCATTTGTTTGTAATTTGGAACTCATTTTATTCTGATAAAGGAACATTATAAATATTATAGATATTTGGTATTAGGCTGTCAGCCTACTTAGAAACATAATATTAAGAATATCCGTAATGTTAAGATGAGGTTCACTTCATCTTAAGTGGAAGGTGGATACCTTCCCGGAAGCACCGAGTGTCTGGGCAGAGACGATAGGATCAGGATGCAGCATCCACTGGGGCCCAGGTGTCTGGACATCAGCCGCAGCCAGATGGACCGTGGGGCAGTGGTCATGGCTATTCAGAGGTCAGGGTAACTGGGAACATTTCTAACTCAGGGTTGTTGATTGATTTCACTGAGTGCTTTTCTGAGATGGTCAGTCGCTCTGCTGAGCCCTTTAGAAGCACGTCTCATTCACTCCTCACAACAATTCCAGGAGGTAAGCAGTAGTATTATCCTTGTTTCTACATTTGTGGAAACTGAGGCTCAGAGAGGCTAAACACGTTGTCTAGGTTACACAGCTGGTAGGAGACAGAGCTGGAACATAAGCTCAGCTGGGTCTGTCTGACACCAAACTCCCTGCTCATAACCATGACATATTTTTTCCATTTGGTTTATGAAGCAGAAAAATCCCTGCTTTCTTTCTTTTTCTTTCTTTCTTTCCTTTTTTTTTTTTTTATGGACCGCAGACCTCCACTCTCCTCCAGTCTGGCCCAGAGCAATGCTTCCTGCCTGCCTGGCGGTGAGGCTGCCTTTGATCCAGAAGCTTAGCGAGTAATCCAGCTGTCTTGTCACTCCCTGTGGAGCATCAGGCTGACCCCAGTGATGCTGGGCAGGCAGGGCCCGTCCACACGCCCACGGGCCTGGGGAAGGAAGCAGCCTCGGGCTTGCATATTTGTGTTGGTAAAGGGCAGCATGTGCGTCTCAAACAAATATGAGGAGCCCTTCTTAGCAGACAAGACTCATTGTGAACCTGTGACCTCTAAGTACCAACATGGCCTTTTTAGAGAAATAATATTTTGGTACTTTGACCTTAATAATCTTCTAAATGAGCATCCAGCTCAGGGTCCAAGCGGGGAGGGTCTAGGAGGACCGGGCATGATTTATCCCGGAGTCAACTGGGAAAAGGCAGGTTGTTTCATTGAAAGCTTGGCTTTCCTTTCAACACTTAGCAACATGGGAAAAGGTGGGGAAAGGTGTTTAAACTCCTGCAAATGTGTTTACTTTAGCAAATAAATGATACCAAGATGATGTCCAGGGCACAGCTGATAATGTTCCTCAGTTTTAATTTTTGGGGCAGGGGGCGGGCAGTGACAATTTATAAAAAGTAATCGGTATTTGATGGTTTTGTCTTGTGACATTTCTCAGAGACTGCACACTAAAAGCTCTGGGTCTAGCTTGTTGTAGTTTGTGGATTTTATACAGTGGCCTTTAGCACTTTCATTTTGGTATTAAACTCCCCTGGATGAACTTGAAATAATGTTCTTCTAAACAAAATATACATAGGCAGAATCAAAACCAAAATGAATTTCCTGAGGATATTTTATTATTTTATATGAATCCGTATGTATAAGGATAGCATCATAAATGAAAATGAAAATATCTAAACATCTGGTTTTGAAATCACACATTGTATGTCATTGTGGTGACATTCATGAAAGGGCGCAGACTCTCCGTACAATCACAGCTTGGGGCAGCCAGGTGTCCCTGAGAGCGGTCCTTAAATATCCCTTCTCAGACGATGAGCGGCAGAGAAAGAAACTAGGTGCCAGGATGTGGGGGGCACACAATAGAGAACCAGGCAACAGAGATGAGAGGCTGGAGGATACAGGATTTGAGTGAAAAGCACCTTTTTGTATCAGTTTTGAAAAAAGTAAAATTTCAGTCATACCAATATGAATAGAAATGTGTTCACTGAGTGAATTCAAAATTTTTTAAAACTCAGAAATGCTCTCATTACTTTGCCATAGGTATGTGTGTGCGCATGTGTGCATATATATATATATATATATATATATATATATATATATATATATATATATATATAGTAAGCTACAGTGCGGGTCCATTTATTAGGTTCGAATCAAATTTACAGTTAACCAAGTGCTATTTTCACAGGGCTTTCAGTGGCCCATTTCTCAGAGAAAATTACCAAGTTTTTAAACTCAAGACATTATTTTCTAAAATCCCATTTTGAAATTCTTTTAAAGACTATATTTGGGTAAAATAAAGAATGCAAAAAGAAGAAAGGTTTGGATGTGTTTTGAAAAAGTAACTGAAGGCTCTATAACCTGATAGTGGTAGCATGTGCCTTATATCCATTTGCTTAAATTCCTTGAATGATGCTCTTAAAATCACGCTTTTTACTATATGAAACTGACCTTCAAATATGGTCGAGTTGAATAGACAGCTGGCATGTCCGGGACTCAGGGCGGTGTCTGTACCTTCGTGCAGGGGCCCGGGAGAGCTGGGACGAACTGCGCCCTGGACTGCGGCTCTGGGATTGGAAGGGTCAGCAAGCACGTCTTGTTGCCGGTTTTCAACCGTGTGGAACTGGTGGACATGATGGAATCGTTCCTCCTGGAGGCCCAGAACTACCTGCAGGTGAAAGGGGACAAGGTAGAGAGTTACCACTGCCTCAGCCTGCAGGAATTCACGCCCCCTTTGGGGAGATACGATGTCATCTGGATTCAATGGGTCTCCGGTTAGTCCGTCTTGCATGGCGTTGTGCCTGTCCTTCTCCCCTTCCCAGAAAGAGAAGATAACACTTGGGGCTCCCTGGAGGACTTGCAGAGAGGGAGCCAGGACATAAAGGGAGGTCTAGCTATAGTTGTGCCTATAGCCAGCTTTTGGTACCATGGGAACCCCTTAAAAGCTCTGGTCCATCAGATTTCTCCCCTAACTTCTCTGTAAGCCTGACAATTCCCATCCTTGGGGATAGAGTGCCTTTGGACCAACCTAAATCCTAGAAGAAACCTAAATACTTGAAAAACTTTAAGACATGGGGCCAAAAATGTTTATCCCCACTTGTTAATAAAACTAGGCTTTCTTAGATTTAAATCCCCAGGAAATGAGACAATAGTGAATTAGATTTGGGTCTGAGTGTGTGTGTGTGTGTATGTGTGTGTGTGTAGGAGACACAGAGCAGTGATGAGAGAATAGGGTTGTCCGGGGGACATGGAGGGGACCCATGGATGGGCAATAGTTTATCTCATGTCCGTGTGGTAGACAGACCAGATTGTATAACATCTATTTTCTAGACAGGGCACTGTGCCCCCTCAGAGAGATCACTTCCTCTTATTTAAATTCTCAAAGCTGCCTGCACCAGGCTGTTAAATAATTCATGAGCGAGAGGACAGATGGTCTCCTGATTCTGTCCTACTCGCCTTCTTTCCCACCCACCATTTCGTGCTGTTTCCCTATCTACTTGGCCTCGTCTCTAGGGTACCTGACTGACAAGGACCTTCTTGCATTTCTTTCCCGGTGTCGAGACGGCCTGAAAGAACACGGTGTCGTCATACTGAAGGACAATGTGGCCCGGGAGGGCTGCATCCTAGATCTCTGTGACAGCAGTGTGACTCGGGACATGGATATCCTGCAGAGCATCATTCGGAAGAGTGGGCTGGCGGTGTTGGGCCAAGAGAGGCAGGACGGCTTTCCAGAGCAGTGCCTCCCGGTGTGGATGTTTGCACTGCACAGTGATAGCAGCTCCTGACCCGCGGTGGGTGTGCTCGGCGGGGCTGCACAGCGGTTCTTGGGGACAGAGGTGCTCCCCTCAGAGACGTACCTGGTAATTCATGGAGGGATGGAGAGAAGGGACGCAATGCATGTCTGGAAATAACTGATGATGTCGTATGGACAAGTGTGCACTCATTCTATAAGTACATGCACACTGGATTTTTCGAAAGATAAATGGAGTGACATATCGGGAGAAATGCTTGTAGGCACATAAACTGTACAAGGGTACTCATAAGCAAAGAAGGCAGCAATGTTCACAAATTCTGAGGATTTGCATATAGAGTGCGGTCTGGGCCCCCTTTCTCTGTCCTCATGCTAGATACATTATACTTCCTTCCTCTTTGGGCTTACTACTTCTCTTAGACAAAAATGTCCCCCTAATTAAGAAGGCACCAGTCATAATAGCCTTATGAAAACAAGCCCATTACTTAATTTTGTCATTAGCCTTCCTCTTGACAGAAAAAGTATATGGTTTCACTTTCTATTTTGGGTCAGTTTCACCACACAATGATGTCATATGGATGTAATTTGATAACAGAAGGCTGCATTTCAGTGATGTACCCTTGAAATTTCAGCTGTGAACATATAAGTAAATGTCACTGATAATCTAATTTTAGCCACTGGCTCCCAATGCTGCTTAGTTCATTGCAACCACCCTGTTTCTTTGATTGATATGCAGGTACACTGGAAAGAGAAGGAAAATTATAAACCTGAAAAATGAACTAACTGGATTAATTTAAGGCATTGATTTAATTAAAAATAATCTAGAATCTTTCACAACCAAACGTAATTTAATTTGTATTAACGTAATATAACAGAATGGGAGGTAGAGCCCTGAGCGCATGAGCCAGAGAACAGAACTAAACCCACTGGTGAACCAGTCATTACCAAAGGGACTGAGTGTGGCACACAGGGTACGTGAGTGTTAATCCTCTGTGTCTTGGAGCAAATTAGCTGAATCTTCTTTTTAGGCCTATCCCAGGGATTTTCTTCTTCAACAACGGCACCCTTGGTTCCCTTGCCTCTTTGACTTTTTGCTCTGCCAACGTTCAGCTGCCGATTGACACAATTATCAATTTTCCCTGCTCTCGTGTTCCTGGGCTCGTGGAGGGGATAACATAATTGTCCTATGGATCTGGGTGGATGACCTTTAACGAGGCTGAGTCTTTGAGGTTGATGAGTAGTCCTTTTTCGCTTCCTAAGACAAGTCACTTTCCATCCTCTGTAGAAATGTTCAAGACCACACAGCTCCACACGGCTTCCCAACTCTACATCTATCCTTAATTTAGTTGAAAAAGTAGAAGCTGTGGAGTAAATTGTATCAACATCCCCCTCTACGCTATTATGAACAAGTACAAGATGAAGGGAAGAGTGACTTGAAAGAAGGGGCCGTTGGAGCTGATCGTGCTGCCTAATAGGTCACGTTCAGGTTTGGACATGGTGTTTGAAGAATGGGAGTGCACGTAAGGGACTGATTTTTCTGGTGTTGGGAGTAGAGTCACGGATGCTGTAGAAGGAAGCCTTTTAGAGCGAGACCTACCCCAGCCATCGTCAATCTAATTCAGTCACCCAAACACACGGCTGATGTGATCAGCACATCTGTGTTGCAGTGTAAGTAACAGTCTACATTAGTTCCCACATTCTGTCCAGAGGCCAACTGCCCAGAGTCATTTGGGAAACTTTTACAGGCTAGAGGCTCACAGGCCCTGTCGCCATGCGAGTCTAGTTCTGAGAAGTACGCTCAGATAATTTGTATTTTTTGGTAAGGTCTCAAAGTGGCTCTGACCAGTAGTTTTGTTTGAGGATCCTGATGGGGGAAGGCACGTTCATCTGGGCTCTTCTGAGCCACAGGAAGGTGAGGTGGGGCAGGCAGGAGTGGGGGTCAAGTTCAGGGAAACGACCCGATGGCAAAACCCATCATCCACACTGATGCCCCTCTTTCTAAAATATAAATCCGACCACGTCACATATAAACGTTCAGTGCCCCCATCACCCACTGGATGACTTCCCACTCCTTAGAGTGACAATAAAGCCTCCCGGGATCGAGCCCCAGGATTCCTCTCTAGCCTCGGTTTTTCCATGCCCCCTGCAGCTATACCTAACTACTTGCGGTTCCCTGAAGGAGCCACAGTGTGTGGCTCAGGGCATTTACTTATGTCACGTCCTTAGACTAGAAGGGCTCTCATTCTTTTTGGTCTGGCCCAGTCTGCTTCGATGTTCCCAGCTCTAGGACAGCTTCCTTCACCTACACCCGCAGGGCCTGGCTTAGGTGCCCCACTATGTGCCACCCTCATACCGCAGTCTGCTAAACTCTATCTCAGTACTTAGAGGGCACTGTAACCGCCCGCTTACTCGCTAATTCCCCGGTTACATTGTGAGCTCCTTAGCAGAGCACTCACGGTTAGAGTTCTTAGCACAGGTCCTCGCACACTGCAGTAGCTCAGACCTTGGTTGAGAGTATAAAAGGCAATGTGATGAGTAGTAGAAAGACTCAGGAGGCCATCTAGTTTCTGAAGGCATCAGACAGGAATCAGACCACAGCAGCAGGAAAAAGCAAGGGCTTCTGAATTCCCATGAGCACTGGGATGTGACAGACTAGTCATAACAGTGATCAAGCAACGCAGGTGAACCAGAATGCACAGACATGAGAAGGCGGCGAGCCCAAGGATCAGACAAGCATCCAGGAGATGGGAGCAAGAAAGCTAGGTCCTGCCTAGGAAGGATCTTCTCTCTCTCTCTCTCTCTCTCTCTCTCTCTCTCTCTCTCTCCAACCCAAGGATATGGCCAACCCAAAGCCCATACTTTCATCATGTGAGCAGGTGGACCCTATAAGAGAGATATGTTGAAATTGTGAGTAGGTCATAACAAAGCAACGCCTCATCCTCACCTGTTTACTGCTAGGCAACAAGTCCAAAGAGCCTATCAGCTTACAGATGAAGCTAATCCTCCTGAGAAAGTTGACTAGAAGTAGAAGGCGCTCACCTGTACTTCAGAGATAAATTAATTGCAAACATGCCTGCAATTCTAGATGAACTTAGGAGGACCCCTTGGCTTCCACAGTGATTCATGAATGGGTACAATCTCCACCTCCCTCCTCTTCTGAGAAGCTGAGCCACTCTTTCGAGGCACTGGCATAGAAGCATGCCAAGTCTTCAGGGGTCAGTAAGTTTATAGATTCAGGACCATCATAAAAATATAAAATAAAATGAATAAGGTCATCCATGTGAAAGATGATCTGCTTTGTATTATGGACACATTTTAGCCTTATCCTTTTTTTTTTTCCTCTCCACCATTTCCTGTAACTGGTCTGCTTTGAGTGATGTACTGGGGAGAAGACCTGTGTCAGATATATTCAGCTGCCTGTCATGAGTAATTAAAACCAGTTGTGTTATTGCTTTCTTTAGTTCCAGTTGACTCTTTGATGCTTTGGTGTCCATGCCAGAAAACTACCTCTTATAATCATCAGAGGCCAGTGTTTTTGCAGAGGTCACTGCAAGCTAATTAAGCAAATATGTGAAAAATAGTTTTAAATTATCTCAATTAGTCGAGTGTGTGTATACATGTATCTAGAGCGGATTTGAGGAGGGACTTTGTAAATGATAACTGACTTGCAGGATTAGTGATTTGGTGCCGGAGAACTATACAGATACAGCACCTTTGTACATTAAGTTGGCATCACTTGACCTTTTGCTACATGACAGGCTGTATTCGTTTCTGCAAATAAACATGTAGAAAACAGCCAAGAAGATCATGGCTCGGTAATGGGAAAGACAGATACACAAATAATAATAAATCAGGATTAAAAGGACTAAAAGAGTGGCACGTACAAAGAGTTCAAGTAATGCAGAGACTAGAGTGATTTGCTCCACCTCTGGGAGGCTGCACAGATTCATTCAACAGAAATTTTCTGAATACCTACTATGTGCCATGACTGCTCTAGGCTCTCAGGATATACCAGGGAATGAAACCCAAAGACCCCTGGCCTTGTGTAGCTTGTATTTTAGGGGAGCTATAAATTAGCAAATTATTTTCTATGTTAGAAAGTGGTAAGTTTTTGGAAAAATAGAGTAGTCAGGGGGTTTGGAGTCATGGAGGAAGGTTTCAATTTTAAAGAGTGGTTCGTATGGGCTTCACTGAAGAGGTGACATTTGAGCAAAGAGGTGAAGAGGGCGAGGGCATTGGCCATATATGGATATCTGGGGGAAGAGGGAACAGCAGTGCAAATGCCCTGAGTCTTGAGTGCTAGCGGGGGGGGGGGGGGGGGGGGGGGGGGTCAGTGCAGCTGCTGCAGCGTGAATGAGGGAGAGTGTAGTAAGATATGAGATTTAGGGACGTGAGTGGGGCCAGATCATGCAGGGACTTGTAGGGTACGGAAAGGACTTGTACTTTTATTCTGATTGAGAAGGGGAGCCACTGCAGAGTTTGGGGCAGAGAAATGACACCATCTGACTTGTTTAAAAGGATTCCTCTGGCTATTGTGTCAAGAAAAAAGAACGGTGGAGCACGATGGAAGCACGGAGACCAGTGAGAGCAGAAGTCGGGAATCGATGGCTCGCGGTTCAAATCCAGCTGGTTGCTCTTTAGTAAAGAAAGTTTTACTGGAAGTAACACAGCTATGCCCACTTGTACTACAAACAGTACAGGAGAGGAACTGCCCCAATCACTGTGTGGCCTGCAAAGCAGAAAATGTTTCCTACGTGACACGTGACGAAAAATGCTGTGGATCACTAAGTGAGAATACTGCAGTAACTCAGGGGAGGGAAGTGCCAGCGTCTGTAGCCAGAGTGGCACCACTGAAGGTAGCGAGAAGTGTGTGGATTCCAGACAGATTCAAAATGAATGCCGACTGGATTTGCTGAATGGTTGTGTGTGTCATAAAGAGAAAACTCAAAGATGAGTCTCAAGTTTTGGGTCAGACAACACAGTTTCTATCATTTGAGGTGAAGAAAGCTGGTGGTGCAACAGTTTTCATGGTGAGAGATCAGGAATTAGGACAGCTTGAACTCAACGTTGGTGAGTTTTTAGATGACACCAAGTGAAGATCTTGAGTCAACTCAATATGCAAGTGAGAGGTTCAGAGGAAACATCTGGGCTGGGGATAGGAAATTAGCACAGAGCCGTGATTCTGGATGAGTGTTCAAAAGAATGAATGAAAATAATGAAGGGGACAAATGATGAGAACTGGAGCACTCTAACATTAAGAGCTTGGGAAGAAAAGGAAACAACAAAACAAAAAAGCAAAGATGACCGATAAAGCAACCCAAGAGTGGGGTGCGCTCTGGAAGCTGAGCGAAGAAGGTGTATTAAGGACAGAAGGATTGACTGTGTCAGGGCTTTCTAATAAGCTAAGGAAGAGAAAAACAGAATCGACCAGCACAGCTT